GACAGAGACTTTCAGTATGGCTACAACCAGATTTTATCATGGTGAGAATAATGTTGTTCTTATAAAATTCATAGTAACTAAGACACATACCGTGTATGTGCTGTATTGCAATTTTTTTTGTAATATACTGTACTTATTAAATTATTGTAAATGCTGGTACATGTATATAACTAGGGAAACAGGATTATTTAATTTAAACCACCTCAGCATGGCCGTGATCAGTCGCTATCACTACCAGACTCGCTTAGCTGAAGGTCTTCACCTGAAAACATTAAAACAGAGATCAGGAGTTTATTTCTCCTCACAACAACCATACATGATCCAGCATACATGGTAAGAGAAGTAACCAAATGATATGCAAAGAGAGCACATTATATTGATTACATAACAAATAATACAAACTACAACTATAGCAAATGCATGGAAAGCATAACTTGGAGCAACGTGTAAACATCTGTTGCTATAGGCAAATCTTTGCTGACGTCATTGTTTACATTTGTCCTCATTAGCATACGACTTGACTCATAGAAGCTGTGGCCATATATATGAACTAAGTGCAAAAGTTGATAAAGCTGATTAAGTTGCGCAATTTGTGCAATTTTCAGCTCTTTATAAGCAAAACTGAAGGAAATATCAGCCATCAAAAACTGCCAAATTGCTGTGTGGCAAAAAAGTTAATGAGCCATACATTTCTCTGTAAAATTTCGAGTTTTTAGAAGAGAATTTCTCCGAAACCATTCCATGTATTGGGCTCAAATTTGTTAAAAAGTGTTATGCCCTTTCAATATTCAGAGTTCTTCTTTCATTAGCGTCATCAGATAGTGATAAGCAAATGTTAATGAGGTAAAAAGTGTAAACAAAGATTCGCCTAATGGGGACTTGTTAAAAAAAAAATTGCTGTTGTTAAATGTTGAATGTTTATAGTGGTCGATTCGCTTAGCTATAACTAGCTAGTTATGCCACTTAAACTGAAAGAAAGAAATATTTCAAATCAACATCATAGGCTTAAAAATCCCAGCAGGTGGGAGGCAGACCAGTTGGCTATTTTCAAGCATGGCCGGCCGAAGAGTTCAACTAGGGTCTACGAGAAGCAACTTCGATTCCATCTCAGTGGTCAGAGCGGGACTTGAACCCGCGGCATCTGGATGTCAAGTCCGGCACCCTAACTACTCAGCCACGCTGTCTCCCAGCGAATTCATGTAAATATAAGAAGGTTTTTGAAAGCAAAATTTGAGGAACTCTCTGGGTAGTTAGCCCCAGTTGTTCAAAGGGTGGATAACGGCTATCCACTGGATAAATAGCTATTCCGTGTGTAGATGAGTGAACAAAACAAAGCAGGCAATGTACTGGATAGTAATTTACCCGGTGGATGACGTTATCCGATCTTTGAACAACAGGGGCATAAAAGAAACCCTTCCAGTACAACTCTGTCCTTTTTCTATAACGACCACAGTCAAAGGACGTTAAAATGCTTAGAAATATTACAAAATAGAATTAGAACATCGCGAAGAACGATTAAAACAAATTATAAGAGTGAATTGCGTTTATGTATGTGGTGACAATAAATTTGTGTAATGTTTTGGTGTAACGACCATGTCATAATTTTGACTATAATGACTGCTTTGAATGAAAACTACCAATCAAAATGGATTCTTTGAAGCTAATAGCAGGTTGTCAGACAGGCAGGCATCGATCAACAATCGAAAACTCGAATTATAAAATTCATTTTCTTGTACAAACTCATTTGACTATTAAAGTGACCTGTTACACAAATTCTAAATTGGAGTCTTTCTTGGGATGGACATGGAGCAGCCAGTAGTAACCAAGTTTCTTTCGGTTAGAAGCTATTAATTCCTTGACGTCTATTATTTGTCCCTCTGAACTGGTGCACGCGGGCAGACCCATTGGCGCATACAAAATTCGCGCATGCGGGGGCCTTTAAATGATTTACATCGACACAGAATCAAATTTGGAATAGCGACAAAGATGCTATTTCTGTCGACTGGATAAACACCGGATGGTCAAGTTTTCGATGAACTTTCACCCATATCTTCAAAGGAGGCAAGATTTACCAATTCAAAGTACATAGTACGAAGGAAGATCGTCATTCGCGTCTTCCTTATACACGAAGTGCAGATTTGAAGTTCTGGGGC